TTTGCTAAGAAGTACACCATCTTACAACCCATTTTTGCGCTGGTATAGGACAAGTTTTATGGTTAAAGCAATATTTTTACATATTTTTGAGATGAATTCCGTCCCTATAAAAATTCTCAGTCCCTATAAGAAAAATTCATGGGGACGTTCATAGGGACAATCTCAATATCATTTTTGGATTTCTTAGCTTGATTTATTGAGTTCTTTATTACTTGTCCCTATGTCCCTATGAGTCCCTATGAAATATAAAAGTTCTAGGAAAAAAATTGATTTTTTATGGTATTCTTATGAGTAAATATAGTCATGTATACAGTTGATATAGTTGATATATGGTCGATGTATGGTATATATATATATATATATATATATATATATAAATAAAAAGGTAAAGAGTTCAGAAATTCATAGGGACTCATAGGGACATAGGGACAAGCAGTAAAAATGCCTTCCGAGAGTTTTAAAATTGCCAGTTTGCTATACTTCTAGTGTCCTTGTTAAGTTTTTTTGCTGTCCCTATAAATTTTTCATGAGGCCATTTTTTTTTGACGGGTTCTTAGGGCCAACTTATAGTATTGGACATTTTTATTTTATCGAGAGCCTCTCCTAATGCCTCTGGAGTCTGCCAGTTCTGAAACATCTTATCCAATTTCTTCCGGTGATAATTTGCTTTCGAATGGCACTTATTTACATGCAAATTACAAAACCCATATTTAGAGGCCGTTGGTCTTTCACATCCATCTTGTTCGCATAGAGATCGCTGGCGTCTTTTCCAGTGAATACTACACCCTTCTTTTCGTCTACTTCCCCGCCTACAAACCTCCCCTTCATCAGAACGATACTGGCAAATGTATTTACCGCCCATTGATATTATTCTTGGATAACACTTTGATATCTATAATAATATTTATTTTCATTTTGAACTTTTTTGTTGGGGTATTATACTGAAATGGTATACTAGATAACATATTCGAAAATTTTTACTATGACTCGATCTGAGCTTTCAGAGTTCCTCGACGCCCCCTCCGTCCCACTTTTTCACCCAGAGGCTGAAAAAGATAAAACAGAAGGCCAGGTAATTCGCTATTCTGGTGAAAAATACTTGTCGGGCATTCCAATTCGAGATAATATAGTTGTGGAAAATGATGAGGGATTAACCACAATCCTTGAAAACGCTCTATTCAATTGCCAAGAAATACCATTCATGGCCACTGATAATGAAGGATCCAGCCAAAAAATAAATGGAAAGTATTGCTATGTATTACAGCTCTACGGTTCTCTCATTAATGGTCAAAAAGCGATAGTAACCCTTTTGGGAATTCAGGTTTTCTTTGACGTTCTTGTTCCAGACGGAGAGACTCTGGATGAATGCGAAATGAAAGTAAGGGATATTCTCTCTGAGGAGGTGGAGACTCAAAAAATTGAGCATATTAAAGCTTTCCCTTTTCGGGGTTATCATACGGAAAAAAAGATATATTTACGGATTTATATGAGTGGTACTGGTAAAAGAAAAACAGCCATTAAGGCCGTCCAAGATAATAATTACGAAACTGCTTCAGATGATTTATACTCATTCCACCGTAAAGTGGCTCAAGAAAATGGAATTCAACTTTCTGGGTGGTCTATGCTGGGTAATTACATGTACAAGGAAAGGATTGACCCTCTCTGCTCCCACATATTTTACTTATCTAAA